AAGGAAAAATAGGGAAGGGAAGGAAGGAAAAGAGGCAGGGAGATACGGAATAAGGGAGCAAGGAAGGAAGGAAAAAATGGAAGGAAAAGGAAGGAAGGAAAGAAGAAAGAAAAGAGCAGAGATACAGAATAAGGAAGCAAGCAAGGAAGAAAATATAGGGAAGGGAAGGAAGGAAAAGAGGCAGGGAGATATGGAATAAGGGAGCAAGCAAGGAAGGAAGGGAAAAAATGAAGGGGAGGAAGGAAAAGGAGGCAGGGAGAGGAAGACGGGCACAAGCAAACAAAGAGGAACAAAGAAGGAAAAAACAAGAGGAAAGAAAAAAAATAGGAGAGGAAGAAAGGTAAAGGAGGAAGGGAGAGAGAGGGAGGAAGGGAACAAGCAAGCAAGGAAAAAGAAGAGGCAGGAAGGAAAAGAAGGAAGGAATAAGTGGAGAAGAGAGAGGTCAGAGAAAAAAAGGAAGGAAGGAAAGAGAAAGAAGAGAACAGATGTTTGGCTCTCTCTATCCCCCCCACCCCCTCCAGATGTTGGGTGCTGGGCCCTGTGGGCGACCAGGCCGTGGTCTTCTTTGTGGACTTCGGCCGCTGCACCAGCGTCCCCCTGAACTCGCTGCGGAAGCTGGACGGGGAGGAATTCTGGGAAATCCGCCCGTTGGCTCAGCCCTTCATGCTGGAGGAAGGTAAGGTGGCTGCTGGCTGGGGGATTCTGGGAGTTGGAGTCCACGTTCTCCAAGCCTGCTAGCTGGGGGAATGATGGGAATTCGGAAGCCATCCTTAAAGCAGGCCAGCCTGGGGGATTCTGGGAGCTGAAGTCCAACCATCTTGGATGTTGCTACGATTGGGGAAACACGGCTTTGGATGTTTTAATTCGGTTTATTAGCGGCTTTGAGAAGTGGGTTTTGGGAAATCCATTTAAAGAGGATTTATTTCCCCCCCCCCCCCCGGGTTTTGTAGGAGTTTTCCCCCCACAAGACATTCGAAGGCAAATCCTGGTAGGAAAACTGAAAGGACCTTCTCAATGGGAGGTAAGCGGAGAAAATACTCGCCCCATAAACCAGGATTGCAAATTATCAAGTTTTCACATTACAAATCCTGGCTTGTTTTAAAGAAGTGAACCAGAACAGCATGGGGGAGGGGGGATGAGGGGGGGGGAAATCTGGTCACAGCCAGCAGAGTTTGACCTCAAATATAAGCTTCCTTCTGGAATCCTGGTTTGTTGATCTCACAGGTGGTTCATTCAGAGTTGTGGGTCCAAAAGTCCAAAATAATAATAATAATAAAAAGGTGCCATTTCACAGCCAGCCTTGGGGGTTTTGCTGAATCAAAAGAGTTTTGCAAATTTTTGCAACGATTCAGAAAGACAAAACCAGCGTTTCCTGGACTTGCAAAAAAAACACCAATTGGCCGATGGTGAATCGTTTTGTGCGTCTACCAGTGTAAAAGGGCTGGGGCTGTTCTCTCCATCAAACTTGCCAAGAAAGCTGCAAAACTTAAAATAACTGCCCTGTGCAAATAAATACAATTCTGCAATCAAATTATTATTATTATTTCCCTACCTTAAGGACCAGCAGCTTAAAATAAAGTCAAAAGTCACTGCCCAAAACACACATATTCCAAATTCAGCGGAATTTTCGTCCCCGAGTTAATTATATATTTATGAAATATTAGCTGGGTCGGCATGACACCCAGCCAGATGCAAACCAGCCGCACAATGGTGCAACACACAACATTGTAAACAATTTAACACTTTTTTAAAACTTGTTTTACAGCCGCACATTTTAAAGTTTGTTGCCAAAACAGGCTAAGAAGTTGTGGAGTTGTGAAGTCCGCTGCATCCCCTGCAATCTTGAAGTACATCTAATTTTCTTCGTTGGGAAAAAGTTGCGGTTTCATCGTCCCGAAAAATAAAGTGTTTTGTTTTCTAAGTGAGGCCAGTTTTTTTAAAAGTTGGTTTAAAAATTGGTGGAGGGAGGGAGATACATTAATTTGGTTGCTTCATTGAGGCCTTAAAACTTTGTGTTGCAAAGGGGGAGAAAATTTTATTTTTCCTACGGCATTTTTGTCTTGGGACAGCTGGAATTGTGCGGGATGTGTAAGTAGAATGCGGGGGGGAATTACATAAATCTGTATTTTGGCTGTTCTGTTGCAACCTTGTTCTCTTTAAGTTTGTTATTGCAATTAATTGATTAAAAGGCTAACTGGATCCAGAAATTGGCGTGTTTCTTTTCCTTCCATTATAAAAATACACTTTTCAGCCAACGCCAAGCAGACGCGATCAGATTAAATTAAAAGAAAAATAAAGCTGCTGAGTGGTTTTTTTTTCTTATCGTTTTGCTTTTCTCTCCTTGGGCAAAGGGGGATTTTATTTTAGGAGTCTCTGCTCTTGGAAAAAAAAAATTGAGTGTATTTTTATTCTGCTCCAAGGCCAGATTATTATTTTTTTTAATTCTGAAAGATGCCTTTCCTTATTAAGATGGTTTTGAATCTTATTTTTAAAAATTGCACTCGTCTGAACAGACTTCAGATCTGGAATAGGTGTGAAATGCAGAATTGCTAGAGAAGAACCAATAAATCTTACATCGGAGTCTTTGGAAATAGCTAGAATTTAGGGGGAGGTGTTGAATTTCTAGTCCTCAAGAGGGCAAGATCAACCTCGACTCTAGGGAAGTAGCGAAGGGGCTTATTGTCTTATTTTCCTTTTTAAATTAAATTTTATCAGGCATACACTCCCGAGTGACGGTGATTTTCATACACACGATGAAAGGCTCAGCAAAATTGGATCCTTTTTTTTTTTTTAAGAAAATGGATTAGATCTGGAAAGATTTCCCCCAGATCTCCCCGCTTGGGGGCTGCTGCAGATTAATGTGGCTTTTTCTCTCTCTCTCTCTCTTTTTGCTAGCATTTAATCTGCTTTTTAAAGGGCTTCAACATCTTTTCCAAGCATTTCTGGCTGTGAAAATGCAATTACACCTTCTTGCGCGGATGGTTGAAACAGACCGGTACCCGTGCCTGGTTTTTTTGGGGGAAAAGAGATTTTTCTAGCACCCACCAGATTCTCTCTTCATCTCCTTTTCTGTAGCCGCTCTTCAGATGGCCGGACTGGGGAATCTGAAGCGAGGAATCTTAAGCAACCCGGTGCAATTTCGTCCTCCTTTCGCTTTTCAATGTTTTATCGCTGAGAATTTGAACTCCGTTTATCTTGAGAAGGGCGTGCAAACATTCCTCGCTTAACGACCGGCTGTTTCCACAACGGTTCCACGTTACAACAACAAAAGTTACTTATTAAACCTGTCCTTGAAGTTACGACGGTCTGGTCACAATTGCATTTTACAACCAGTTGCAACATTCCACTCAAGCGGCCAGTTAAGTTTTGCCAATTTTAACACCCCACTCGGGACAAATCGATCCGCTTCACAACTGGGGGGGCTTGTTTAACAACTGCAAAGACTCACTGGTTAAAAAAAAAAAGTTTCCAAATAATAAAACCAAAAAGTTAGGCCACATAATGAGGGCTCCCTCTCCAAAAATCCTATATTCCCTTGGGGTCATTAAGTGAGGACTTGGGAAGGGACAATAATTCTACCTTTGGTAAGACGTAGGGTCTCCCTCTTGGGCAGGGGGTTGGACTAGATGACCTATAAGGTCCCTTCCAACTCTGATTATCTGTTAAAGAGTTAATGCAGAGCTGAAATTGGAAGCTTGCTTTTTGGGCCATTTTTCCTCTTCTTTTTTCTTTCTTTTTTCCCTTTTGGCCAGCTAAGAAAGTGGCCGGTTTTGGGAGCCAGAAGGAAGAAATTTTATCGCTCGGGTGAGTTTCGTGCAATCCCTTCCCTTCCCCTCTCGTCCTCGCCCCCCTTTTCTCCCGGACAGAGATACCACCAGATTCCCCCTTGAAATTAACAAATGTAATTGTTCTCCAAAGATACATATTTTTTTTTCCCCCATAAGACATCCATCATACACTGTAACCCAAAAAAAAAAAAAAAAAACCCCAAACCAAAAGGAAAAAAAAAGAAAGGGAAGAAAAGAAAGGAAGGAAAGAAGGAAGGAAGGGGAGGCAGGTCGGGGAAGGGGAGAAGAAGAGGAGGAAGGGGAAAGACGTGTACAGGAAAATAAGAAAATAAATTAAATCCAGCGTGGAAGGAAAGAGGCCATTGTTGTGTGTGTGTG